GTGTACTCAGGGGCCGCGACCTGGTTCCTGTCTGCTCCAAGTCCATCCCCACCATCAGGGGCCCTGGTGAATAAGCAGACTGGGACTTAGACTCCGCTCCCTGGGGAATCCTGTCCTGGGGACCACTAGAGGTACCACCAAACGGTCATTACAGAACCCTACGGCCGGCCTGACCGTTCCACCTCTCCAGCCCTGACTACGCCTGTGTTCCTGCACCTACTAAGATTAGTGAAAGGTTGGTTTGTTCACTGTGCCTTTATATATATATATATATATATATATATATATATATATATATGGGGTGGCTAATAATAACCTGTATTACAATACTATACCTGAACCCTGTGTTTCCCTGTTTCAGTCCACACCTTTCTGGTCATTCCTTGATTCCTGACATCATCATTACGTCAGACCCTACATACTGATATTTCCACGTCGCTCAACCAACTTACGAGCATTATAGGTTAACAAGAACGCAGAATACAGCATATAGAAACTAATATGGGAGATATCATAACGGCACATAACGATTTGATTGATGCTCACGCAGATCACACTTCGGAAATTGAACAAATCAACCTAAAACTTGCCGATCTAGAAGATAGATCGCGCCACAACAACATTAAATTTAGAGGGATACCTGAATCTGTTACTAATGAGACACTACTACCTTATCTACAACAGTACATTAAGCTTCTCATTCCAACGATCCCTGACTTGGAGCTGGCGATCGATCGAGCCCATAGGTTGCCCAAACCTTCATTCCTATCCGCTGCTATTCCAAGAGATGTTTTGGCTCGTATACATTTCTATCATATCAAAGAGAGAATCATGACGGCGGCCAGAAATCCACCGTCACTCTCAACAACACATGCAAATATTAGATTATATGCTGATTTATCAAAAGCTACACTTCTCAACAGGAAAAAAATGGTTACCATTACCAAGGCCCTAAGAAACCATAACATAGCTTACCAATGGGGTTTCCCCACGAAGCTAACAGTGCGACACCAAGGCAGAATTTTCACGATCAAATCTCTAGAAGCAGACCTAGACCTACTTAAAACATGGAACATTATACCCAGAGATTTGCAGGGAGCTGCACTACCTTCCCTCCAACATATGGAGACAACATGACTAACGACGCAGATCAAGATAAGTTGAAACAAACTTATATTCACGCTCTTCCCCAGAGGCTCTAGTTCAATACCGAGTTACTGGCGATCGGCCTAGAACCGATGAAAATTGTTTTTACGTGTTTACATCTGGTTTGACCCTTCTGACGGTCAAAGCCCGTTCAAACCCCCCGTTTTGCAGTAGCTAAGGAAGCTACTTGGTTTGCTTGCATTTTGCGCAAGATTTTTTTTACTATTGTTCTTTGTGTCCCTTACCTTCCCCTAATGTGGCACCACCTAGTACTCAACATTAACTCTAGACCTGCTTACCTTGAATATTTATGGAAGACCGATTCTAATCCACCAATTGAACCTACTCCGCATAACAAAATCAGAACCCTCTCTTCTCGCATATGGCCATACACTGAGCTACGATTCTCTCAAACAATACGCCACTCAAATATACACCTCAAGAAAAGACCATTAAATGATTAAAATCACATCCCTTAATGTACAAGGCCTTAATTCTCCCTTCAAGAGAGATCGATGCTCTCCAAAGAAGTCCAGAAATCCCAAGCCGACATCTTCTTTATACAGGAATCCCACTTTGCCACAGGAAAAATTCCTACAATACAGCTACACAGATTCTCCAAAGTATTTATGGCAACTGATACTAAAAAAAAAGAATGGAGTTCTCACCGCCATTAAAGACTCTATTGCATTCCGAACTATCTCAACCATAGCCGACCCGCATGGTCGTTACCATATTTTGGTGTGCCAAATAGACGATATCATCTACACGCTAGTGAATGTATACGGCCCGAACAGCAAACAACTGTCTTTTTTCCGCAAACTCCACAAAATCATATCACAACACAAACAAGGCAGACTTATCATCGGAGGCGATCTTAACATTATGGGTAATCCGCTCTTAGATTCGTCTTCCACTAAAAAATCCACCAAGCCTGACTTCAACCATTTGTTACATGACCACGACTTATATGATATCTGGAGATGTCAGCATGGCACTGAGAGAGATTACACCTACTACTCCCCTCCTCATCTCTCTTATTCAAGAATCGACAATTTCATCACTGACAAATGGACATTACAGCATGTGAGATCATCTAACATCGGTATCATAACTTGGTCAGATCACGCTCCAATCAGTATATCCTTAGATGACAATCCACGTTCAGCAATACCACCCATCTGGAGATTGAACTCTTCACTACTGAGAAGCCCAGAAAACCTGAAACATATCCTAGAAGCTCACAACCTTTTTTTTGAAACAAACTCTACTCCTGATATTTCTATTACTACACTTTGGCAAACATACAAAGCCTACATGAGAGGTATCCTCATACAATTGAATTCCCGCACAAATAGACACAGATCCCAACAAATTGACCAACTACTGACCTCCATCCGCGCACATGAAGAGATAAACAAAAAGAACCCAAATCCTTCCACGTCCGCGGCCTCACCCTAGACAGAAACAGACTACGAACCATCCTACTCCAATATTATGATAACAATCTTCAAAAAACAAATTTTACGCACTAGGAAATAAAGCAAACTCACTCCTCGCCAAAATTGTCAAACAAAAACGACTTAAAGCTAAAATCTCCACAATTCAACACCCTAACACTCGCACCATATTAACAAACCCACAGGACATAGCTAATGCGTTTGCGAAATATTACCAAGATCTGTATAATATAAAGGATGACCCAAACACAATCCAACCAACAACTCTCTCCATTGGAAACTTTCTACAAAACACAAATCTTCCTTGTATCACTCCTCATCAACTTGAATCTCTCTCTATGCCGATAACACCCTTAGAGATTAAAAAAAAACTATAAATACTCTCCCTTTAAACAAATCACCAGGAAACGATGGTTTTATTAACGAATTTTACAAATCACTAGCACCCAATCTTACTTCCCACCTAGCGGCCTTATATAATCATGTCGCAACCTATGGGGAATTTCCTCCGGACATGCTACAGTCCATAATCACCACTATCCCAAAAACCGGGCAAAGATCCCTAATTAGTACAAAAATTATAGACCAATTTCATTACTTAATACAGACTTAAAAATATATGCCAAAATAATCGCCCTAAGATTACTCCCATATCTACCTACATTAGTCCACCCAGATCAAGTGGGATTTATACCGGTAGACAGGCCCCAGACGCAACAAGACGAATTATATCCATATTGCATCACCTCGAGACCACAAAACAACCATCCCTTCTTCTATCATTAGATGCGGAAAAAGCATTTGACTGAATTCATTGGCAATTTATGAACCTTACATTACAAAAATTTGGAATAACAGACTGGATGCTTTCAGCGATACTATCCCTCTACTCCAAGCCCACCGCCAGAGTACTGACTAACGGCACACTTTCACAACCTTTCTGTATAATGAATGGTACCAGACAAGGATGCCCACTATCCCCCATAATTTTTGCCTTACTCATCGAGCCATTAGCAACCAATCTTAGAAATGACTCAAACTTTACGGGAATTAAAATGTATCAACATGAGCACAAACTAAGTCTCTTCGCAGACGATATTATTCTTATGGTTACAAACCCCTATAAATCAATTCATTCGATAAGTTCACATATCCGTAGTTATGCGGATGTTTCGTATTATAAATAGAGATGAGCGAATTATTAAAAAATTCAATTCGGCTGATTCGCCGAATTCGCGGAATAAATTCGATTCGAGGCGAATATATTCGCTGCGAATTTAACGTGTAAAAAGGGTGTTTCTAGGCTTCAGAGAGCCTTTATATTAGTGCAGAACACTGTACCTTTAATTTAAATGCCCTTGGAGTCTGCTGGGGAAGAGAAATAATACTGTCAGTCAGTATGACATGCAGATGAGTGCCGTCGATCTTAGAATCACCGCACACACTTCACTCATTTGGGCAGTCACGGGGCCAAAACCAGAGTGTGGAGCCACAGTGTGTGCGGTGGAGGCAGCAGCAATGGGAGGCCATACAGCACCCTATGACAAAATGGAACCCACCAAGCAGTGTGAGGAGACCTGAAAGTGGCACATGGCAGAGTGTGGCGATGGAGACAGCAGCAATGGGAGACCATACAGGGACCCATGACACACTCTGGACCTGGCAGCAGCATGAGGAGGCGGTACAGGGGCCCATGACAGATTACGGGCCTGGCAGCAGCATGAGGAGTCGGTACGGGGGGCCCATGGCAGATTACGGGCCAGGCAGCAGCAATGGGAGGCCATACAGCACCCTATGACAAAATGGAACCCACCAGCAGTGTGAGGAGACCTGAAAGTGGCACATGGCAGAGTGTGGCGATGGAGACAGCAGCAATGGGAGACCATACAGGGACCCATGACACACTCTGGACCTGGCAGCAGCATGAGGAGGCGGTACAGGGGCCCATGACAGATTACGGGCCTGGCAGCAGCATGAGGAGTTGGTACGGGGGCCCATGGCAGATTACGGGCCTGGCAGCAGCATGAGGAGGCGGTACAGGGGCCCATGGCAGAGTGGCGGAGCGTAAGCAGCTAAAATTGAAGGCCATACAGAGGCCTATGTTAAAAAGTCCCCCCAGCAGCAGCGTGGGGAGACGACTAATAGTCGTCTCCCCACGCTGCTGCTGGGGGGACTTTTTAACATAGGCCTCTGTATGGCCTTCAATTTAAGCTGCTTACGCTTCGCCACTCTGCCATGGGCCCCTGTACCGCCTCCTCTTGCTGCTGCCAGGTCCAGAGTGTGTCATGGGTCCCTGTACGGCCTCCCATTGCTGCTGACTTCATCGCCAGACTCTGCCATGTGCCACTTTCAGGTCTCCTTACACTGTTGGTGGGGTTCCATTTTGTGATAGGGTGCTGTATGGCCTTCCATTGCTGCTGCCTCCACCACCACCCTGCGCCATGTGCCTCTGTCGTCTGCTCACGCTGCTGACGGCTTCCGCTTTTTAACCGAGGCCTGTGTTTGGCTTCCGAAATACTGCTGCATCCACCGCCACCCTGCGCCATGTGTCTCTGTCGTCTGCTCACAGCTGCTGACGGCTTCCGCTTTTTAACCTAGGCCTGTGTATGGCTTCAGAATAATGCTGCCTACACCGCCACCCTGCGCCATGTGCCTCTGTCGTCTGCTCACGCTGCTGCCAGGTCCATACTGATTCATGGCCCCCTGTACCGGCTCCTCATGAACGTGGTTCAGCGGGTTTGCATCACTTAAACGGCAAATCGTTGACAAACGCTGGGACGTTCAGTGTTGTGCGCATTAAGCCAGACACCAAAGGGCAGCACAGACCTGTTATTACTCGCTCAAGCATGGCTGAACAAAACCAGTCTCTACCACAAATTGGACCCAGACCTGCCCAGGGTCTCGTAAGTAGATTGCACGGAGGAGTAGAGTTCGTTATTGGAATTAACTGTGAGGGACTTTTAAACCTAGGCCTGTGTATGGCCTTCAATTGAAGCTGCTTCTGCTCCGCCACTCTGCCATTGGACTCTTGATAGTCGTCGACTGTCGCAACCGAGCATCATGCTATGGGCCATTTGTGCCAAGGAATGCGAGGGACTCCCTGCCTCCATCTCCACAGCATACTGCCATGGTGCGTCTGGGTCCTCTGTCTCCTCCTCCTCCTCCTACCAGATGCTCTTGCTCCTCCACTCCTGTCCGCTGAGTGGAAAAACCACCCATTTCACTCAATAATTCCTGAGCACAAATGTCCTCCTCTACCTCCTCCTCTTCTTCCTGTCCTGCCCCCACAGGGGTCATGTGGCGTTGAGATCTGTGCGCCACGTCTACCGCACCCTGACCAGCCATTGTTAACAGCATTTGTTCCAGGACGTGCAACAGAGGAATGACGTCGTTCATCCCATAGTCCTGCCGACTCACGAATAGCGTGGCCTCCTCAAAGGGCCTGAGCAAGCGGCAGGTGTCACGCATGAGCTGCCAATGGCTGACATCTAAGTTACACAGGGGAATACCTTTATCCGCTTGTAACATCAGGAAATCGGTGATGGCCTTTCGCTGTTCGTAAAGGCGGTCTAACATATGTAGGGTTGAATTCCACCTTGTTGCAACGTCGCAGATCAGGCGATGCTGTGGAATTCCGTTCTGCCGCTGCAGCTCAAGGAGGGTGTGCTTTGCGGTGTAGGAATGGCTGAAATGCATGCAAAGTTTACGTAACATTTTAAGGATGTCTTGCAGTGGGATGGTGGATTTTAGGAACCGCTTGACAACCAGATTGAACACGTGAGCCATGCATGGCGCATGGCACAACCTTCCTTGACGCAGAGCAGACACCATGTTCTTTCCGTTGTCGGTCAACATGGTTCCGATTTTCAGTTTGCGCGGAGACAGCCATCTGTCGATTTCTCTGTTCATTACACTCAGAAGTTCCTCCCCTGTGTGACTACGTTCGCCAAGGCATACCAGGTGCAGCACAGCGTGACACCGTTGCGCCCTGCACATGTGATATGCCGGTCGGGTAATGGGACTTGGCACGGGGGTGGCGGCTGAGGACACGGCGGAAGAAGAGGTGGTAGAGGCGGACATCTTTGCTGGACCAAGGACGTGCAAACGTGGAGGCAAAAGCGGCGTGACCTGTCCAAGTCCCAGTGGGCCGTAAATGACATGTACTGTCCCTGACCGTAGTTACAGCTCCACACGTCGGCGCTGCCGTGCACTTTGGCAGAGACCGACATGCTCAAAGACTGGCCCACCATCTCTTCTACATGTGAATGCAGGGCTGGCACTGCCTTTTTTGGCGAAGAAATGCCGGCTTGGCACTCTCCACCGCGGCTCGGCACAAGCCATCATTTCGGAAAGGTGCTGAGTCCACCACTTGGAAAGGGAGGGACTGCAGCACCAGCAACTTGGACAGGAGGACGTTCAGCTTTTTGCACCGTCGGGTGCGTGCTCGCAAACTGTTGTCTCTTGGAAACGGATTCCAAGAAAGACTGCTGACGGAATCCGTGAAGAGGAGTAGCAGGAGAAGGAGCATCTGAACGAGCGGAAGATGCCAACGAGCGACAACTCCCCTCAGCAGAGGTGTTGGAGCCTTGACTGGCTGATAGAGGGCGATTGACGTCGGGTGATGGAGCAAGTAACGGAGCGGGTGATGGAGCGGGGGCTGGGGCAGGCAGAACCGCCGTATCTTTATCACGGTTTTCCCAGGCCACCGAAATGGCGACGCTGCATATGCTGACGCAACGCTGTAGTCCCAACATGGGCCCCCTGGCCACACTTGAATTTCTGGCCACATAGTCGACATACGGCTACGTTTACTTCCTCGGGCGGCTTGACGAAAAATTGCCACACCGCCGAGTAGGAAACTTTGCCCCCGCTACTCCTCACTGGCTGACTGCTACTTCCTCCGTGCACACCGGCACCACTACTGGCCGTGGTGGTAGGCTGCAGTGGAGCTGGTGCTCTACTACTCCGTGGCCGTTTGCCTCCACTGACACTGCTGCGACCCTGCTGCCTCCTGGGCAACCCACCGACTGTTTTGCTCTCTTGCAAGCTGGCACCCTCTTCTCCTGATGATGCGGAAGCAATAGCCTGATGACGACGAGGCTGCCAAGTGCGATCAGCCTCATCATCATCAATTAGGGTCTCCGCGTCACTACTACTAGCCCCCTCGGCTGCGTGTGGGTCAGGAGACAGACCTGTCTCTAGACCGGCTACCGAGCCACTCTCCTCTCGCCAGTACTTCTTCGCCTGGCTGCTGAAGAGGCAGATGTCTCCCCCCGTTCCTGACCGCCCTCTGTTAGCTCTTCCTCACTGTACAGTGGGGCTGAGCCCACAGCATGCGATACTTCGCTTGGTGGAGGGAACACCAAAGGACAGGGGCAGGTAGAGGACACGTGATTTCAGTGGGCTTGCTCCCGGGCCATGCCAACTAATGGTTGTGTCTGACGTACCCACCAACCGTTGGCTGTAGGTGTCAGAGGTGACCTGGGAAGAGGAAGACGACCGAGTCAACCAATCGATGACGGCAGGGTTGTCGGTGGAGACACGACCGCTGGATGACACCGGGAGCACTGGCCTCTGGCTGCGACTAGTGCTGCCTCGACCCCTTCCTCTGCTGCCACGTCTGCTCGCTCCTGAAACATTGCCTCCTCTGCCACTCCTCTGCGTGTTGTCTGACATACTCTTTAATTCAATAGTGGTTGTGAAGCAGAAAGTAACGATTCTGTGTCCCTGAGTAACAATTCTGTGTCCCCGAGTAACGATTCTGTGTCCCTGAGTAACGATTCTGTGTCCCTGAGTAACGATTCTGTGTCCCTCAGTAACGATTCTGTGTCCCTCAGTAACGATTCTGTGTCCCTGAGTAACGATTCTGTGTCCCTGAGTAACGATTCTGTGTCCCTCAGTAAACGATTCTGTGTCCCTCAGTAACGATTCTGTGTCCCTGAGTAACGATTCTGTGTCCCTGAGTAACGATTCTGTGTCCCTGAGTAACGATTCTGTGTCTGTCCCTGAGTAACGATTCTGTGTCCCTGAGTAACGATTCTGTGTCCCTGAGTAACGATTCTGTGTCCCTGAGTAACGATTCTGTGTCCCTCAGTAACGATTCTGTGTCCCTGAGTAACGATTCTGTGTCCCTGAGTAACGATTCTGTGTCCCTCAGTAACGATTCTGTGTCCCTCAGTAACGATTCTGTGTCCCTCAGTAACGATTCTGTGAGTAACCTGTGTCCCTGAGTAACGATTCTGTGTCCCTCAGTAACGATTCTGTGTCCCTCAGTAACGATTCTGTGTCCCTGAGTAACGATTCTGTGTCCCTGAGTAACGATTCTGTGTCCCTGAGTAACGATTCTGTGTCCCTGAGTAACGATTCTGTGTCCCTGAGTAACAATTCTGTGTCCCTGAGTAACAATTCTGTGTCTGTCCCTGAGTAACGATTCTGTGTCCCTGAGTAACAATTCTGTGTCCTTGAGTAACAATTCTGTGTCCCTGAGTAACTATTCTGTGTCCCTGAGTAACGATTCTGTGTCCCTGAGTAACGATTCTGTGGCCCTAAAGTCTCTGTGGCCCTAACTCTGTCCCTAATACAGACAGGTCTGTCTCTCTTGAATGACCGGAGGCTAATGGAGAATTCTAAGATGGCCACAATTTATAGCTCCACCATTACACAGTGCTGGCTGGCTGGCTGCTGATTGGCTAATGCGATCACGTCATGAATGAATGCATTATGGGTCAGCGCGCCTTGTCTGCGCGCCTTCCCAGAGATCCCCGCTCCGTCGCCACACATGTCGCCGCCATTTTTGGGAAAATTCGATTCACGCATCCGAAGTTTGCTAATTTTCGGATTCGGCGCGAATCGAATTTTTCCTGATCTTCGAAACGAATTCCACTTCGCCATGTTCGATTCGCTCATCTCTAATTATAAACTCAACGAACCCAAATCATCTATACTCAACCTGCATACACCTATTGATACTAAAACTCTAATTTCCAAACATTTCCCCTTTACCTGGGAATCACATAGCATACCCTATCTAGGGATCAAACTTACCGCAATCACTAGCCAACTTTTCGCAACTAATTACAAGTCATTACTAGAAACCATCCCCCAAGAAATTAAAAATTTACGCACTACCACACTATCAACTTTAGGTAGAGTAGCAACCATAAAAATGTGTATATTACCTAAAATACTATATATTTTTCGAACGCTTCCTATACCAGTCCCTCATACCTTCTTCTCTAAAGTTCAAGCTATGCTGAATAAATTTCTATGGAATTCTAAAAGACCCAGATGTTCCACTAACTTATTATTACGCCCACCCTCCAGAGGTGGGACAGGTCTCCCCCACCTAAAATCATATTACCAAGCAGTCCTCTTAGACCAACTCTTCTTTTGGTGGCACCCAACCGACGAGAAGATCTGGACCAAATTAGAAAACTCCTTATGCTCACCACACACAATAACAGACATACTGTACATACCCAGGACAACCCTACCTAAAAATTTGCAAACGCACCCGTGTTTCCAGGCTTCTTTAAATGCTTGGTTTGACTTTTCAGCCCACAATCAAGCAAACAAGGGTAATGTGAAAATTCCCACCCCCTTTTCATCCCTACGCCTTCTCACTCCTCACTTAAACATATCAACATGGAGCAGCCTTGGTATAATTCATATCCAAGATCTCTACACAAAACACAAACTAGACTCATTCTCCGTCCTCCAAAAGAAATTTCATCTTCCCGACAAAGAACAATATACCTATATGCGAATTGCCCACTCTCTTCACAAAACACAATTACCATTTGAAATAGAAATTTCTGCAACTGCAGGACAATTCTTCCAAAAGACACAATACCCTAAGAAAGGAATTCGACTTTCTATTCACTAATGGGAAAAGAATTTCTCCCAACCAATCACTCTAAACACTTGGGAAAAAAACATTCACTGTCACCTTTTAAAGCCTCTAAATGTAGCTCCCATTGGGAGACATACCTGAAAATTCTACACCAATGGTATCTGACACCAACTAAATTATAACAATTTTACCCTCAACACTCACAACTCTGCTGGAGACACTGTGGAGAAAAGGAATCTCTCCTTCACATACTATGGGACTGTAAATCCCTTAAATCTTATTGGAACAAGGTTTTCCAGATCATCTCATCACTCACAGGAACTTCAATTACTCCAAATCCCGCCCTAGCTCTTCTCCACGTCGGAATAGACATATTCCCTGTAAGTGTACGCACTATTATCATCCATATTCTAGCAGCTGCAAAAATTAACATCACCAAACTATGGAGATCCACCACAACTCCTTTATTATCCCGCCTCATCTCCGATCTCAACCTCCAATGCGAGATGGAAAGAAGAACCGCACTTTATAACTCCTCCTATCATAAATTTATAGCCCATTGGTCACGATGGTTAAATAACCCCAGTTGCTCAATAAAATGACTACTATTCGAAAGGAATACAATAATCTCTGCTCATTTAGAATTGGTGCTTTCCCCCCACTTCCTTCCCAGTTTTTCCACTACCCTCATGTTCTCCCCACTTTTATGTCCCACTAGTCTCCTAGAATGGTTCACAACATACAGAGCATACCTCTCATGTAACTGAATCACAGAACTACAGGTTCCCCGGCCACTTGGTGGGGAACCTCCAACTTTTTCTTTTGTCTTTATATTTCGTATAATGTTATTCTCGATGTGAACCAAAATGTCCGACTATCATATATTACTTATGTATGTTTAAACTTTAATAAAAACTATTTGAATATAAAATGTTATAATAATCCCTGCATTGGTACAGTGAAAAAGGGACCAGCATCCCACCAAAGAAATATCATATACAGAAATGGTAATGTTTGGGACTAATCCCGTTCATTCTACCCAGAACCAAAATCTCCCACACTAGGAGTGTGCCCCACAAAACAACCCTCCCAAGAAAGGTTCAGGAAAACCCATTTTCGTAGACATCCTCCAAATCCAAGAAAGAGGGAAAAAAAGGCAGATTCAGCCCCTGCAAATGTTTTATAATGTCACTGAAAACCATTCCAGCAAAAAAAAAAAAAAGTATAATGTTTGGGGTTTTAAAGAATTTTCTATATGTAAACAAAAAGGAAAAAAAAATAGACCCAGTGCTAAAGTGGTTAAGATGTGTACCAGTCTAAAAAAATAATGGAGGCAAAAGTAAAGCAGGCTTGCGATTATAGAGATTCTTGGGGATGTAATATAAAAATCAATGGAGATAAGCAGTGACTCATTTATATGTAATTTGTGGTTGGATTACATCTATACTCTGTGTAGTATCATGCGTGTAATCCTTTGAAGCAGAACTAAACAGTGAGGATTTGCTATGTTATTGGGAACATTGAGGATTTTCTATGTTACTGGGAACATTTAGAAATGTCAGTTTTGTCCAAGCAGTACCCTAAAAATGTACCTTTTGTCTAGAATTACTCCTGAAAAATAGCAGTACACTTCCTAATATACTGTATGGGCGTGTCTAGACACTCTTGTGCCTAGAACCTCATAGCTGTACATATGAAGTGTGAATCTAAAGCTCTTCTGCCTTTGGGTGCTAATGTTCGGATTTGGGGTGAGATTTGGAGATGTACAGTAATTACTGTGCTGCTCACTGTTCTCCTTGATAAAGGATCTGACAAGAAGGAGCAAAGCCTTTCCTCTACCAAGATAGTTGCCTCCACACAAGGACACGCTGCTGGCACAGGGAATACTTATTTATTATTTATTTATTTCAGGTACTTATATACCTCCGTCAATTTATGCAGCGCTTTTTTACATATATATGCACATTCACATCACTCCCTAACCCTCAAGGGGTGTACAATCTACAGTCCCTAATTCACATTCATACATACACATACAAGGGCCAATTTAGACAGGATCCAATTCACCTACCAGCATGTCTTTGGAGTGTGGGAGGAAACCCACTTGTCACTAGTCCTTCATCAGAGCTTCAGTTCCTTGTTAAAGTTGAAGAGTAAATTTCTTGGTGAAGTGAAATATTCGAGCATGTGTTGAGGTCCTGAAAGTGAATGATTAGCTCTTCAACATGATGTATTTTGTGAAGACAAGTGACGGATGCACGAATTCAAAGTTTAAAGTCTAATTATTTGGCACTGAAAGATAGAAGAATGATCTTTGAAAGTAAGGAGACCATTATTTTGCAGAGGTGCAGGATCCAATGTGAACAGTAAAGGCTGAATAACACATGTTCATTGTGATGCAATAATATTACACGTGTCAGTGATTAGCTGCGCTATTCTATTTGCATGGCACCCCAAAATGCTAAAACAGCACAGCTCTACCACATGTTGATCCACAACGCAGTAATGCACTACCATACGTTCCAGTAACATGCACGTTGCTGCAATACACATTGACATTGAAGTGTGCACGGGGCCCTTACATTTTCCCATTTATGCACTGAATTAAGGGAGTCCATTTATTTTGAATTGGCTGCCAACACAACAACCAGATTTGTGAACTCATATCACCGTGGATGAAATCTAATAAAAGAGACCCCCTATGTTAAGGACAAACCCTTGTGTCCTGGAGCTTTTGAATGAAATTTCTGGAGCCCCAATTCAGCTATTATGGTCTCTAGCAAGCAAGCTTGTGTCTTGCATGAGCGATAGGAGGGCACTTTGGGTTTATGCTTGGGCTGTCAAAGATACAACCAAGGCTCATCTGATTTTATTCATTCTTTAACCGTTTCAATACCGTGCAATTTTACACCTTCCTGCCCAGGCCATTTTTCAGGTTTCAGCGCTCTCACACTTTGAATGACAATTGCGCGGTCATACAACACTGTACCCAAACTAAAATTTTATCATTTTCTTCACACAACTAGAGCTTTCTTTTGGTGGTATTTAATCACCGCTGGGGTTTTTTATTTTTTGCTAAATTAACAAAAAAGACCAAAAATTTTGAAAAAAAAACACATTTTTCTGTTATAAAAGTTTACAAATAAATAATTGTTCTTCATAAATTTAGGCCGAGATGTATTCTGCTACATGTCTTTGGTGAAAATAACCCAAATTAGGATGTATTATTTAGTTTGTAGGAAAGTTACAGAGTTCACAAACTATGGTATAGATCTGAATATTGATCAATCCTGAAGTACTGACGGCCAATCTAATTTTTTGAGGTCCAAGAATGTCAGAATAGTACAGATATCCCCAAATGACCCCTTTTTGCAGAGTAGACAGTCCGATGTACTTCATAAGAGGCATGGCGAGTTTTTTGAAGTTGTATTTTTTTGTCATAATTTTTCCGAAAATGAAAAAAATTATTGTCACTATTTTTTTTTTTTTTTACATAGTGTCACCAGTGCAGTACAGCGTCATCATATAACTAGCATGGCGGTGAACAGGGACACTG